TGGGAGGTTTTTGTTGACTGCTTGGCTGTATGATATTTTTGTTTGTGGCTGTTCATCTATTACCGTGTCAATAGAATAGATTTCGTCATTTTCTTCACTATTTAGGATGATCATATTCTGGTCTATTTCCATATTAGGCAAGTTGCCTGTCAGTTGGTTGAACTCAGGATCTTGTTCTATCAGGGCCAGGTTGTTTATTTCTCTATGTTGTTTTGTTGTGAGTGGTACCGTGTCGGATGTGGTTGTGTTTTGTGTCGGGGTCAGCTCATTTTGTCCAATCGTGGGAGAGTTGTGTGCCGAAGTTTGTGCTGGGTCCTGGGTCAGGTTTGTTGTTGTTTTGGGTGGTGACATCATTCCTGTCAGAACTAGGGGTAAGCTGGAATCTGCCAATTCCCTAGAATTTTTTTCCAAAATATTGTTGTTCTTAGTGGGTAAAGTGAGGGTGGTATTATTGTTGGCAGTTTTATGCTTCCTTTTCTTGTCTCGTTCGTCCATCAGGTTGTAGTGCTCTGTGTTGATGTAGATATGGTGTGTTTTTTTTCTTTGGAGGCTCATTGTATCCTTTTTTTTGTTTTGGTTATTATTTTTATCCGTTGCTAACGTAGTTGGCAACAAGGTTAGAAAGGAGACTGGAAGTCCAAAGGCTGTCTCTCTATTCTGTTTAATGTTGGTGTACTTTGTCTACTGTTTGTATAGTTGTTAAACTGATAGTTATATAGTTACTGTGAGGTCTTTTACTCTTTTACTGTGTTTTGTTTTTATTGTTTACTTATGGAATTAGGATCTATGGGAAAGAGTTTTTTAAAGTTGCAGTTAAGCATAGTTTATTTAGTGCTAAGTGTAAAGTGTAATTGCTAATCATTAAACGTTAAGTGCTAATCATTAATCACTAAGTGTAATCGCTAATTGCTAAGCGTAATTGCTAATCATTAATCACTAAGCATAATTGCTAATTATTAAGTATAATATATATCTGTTAAATTCTACTCTAATAATAATAACTAAATAATAATAATAAAATAATAAAATAATAAATAATAACTAATCATTTATCAACTGAGTTCTCTTTCTAACAATCACTTGCACCAAAATTTATAACTAACAAAAATAGAAAACTTGTTAGAGAAAATAGAAAAGACAACTAAAATAATAGTTTTTACAAAGGTCAAGGCATTTTTTTCCGGACTCCTCTATATATTTAGCAAGCAAGTTAAAAGTATTCTTGTACAAGATAACTGGCAGAAAGTGTTGCTCTTGTACAGAAAATTTTGATAGAAGCATAGCTTTTGCTGATGAAGTGAAAGTTAGTTGGTCTAAAAGAGAACAATAAGCAAGTTTTCAATATACTTCTTATCAAAGTTTAAGGCTACTCACAAACTGTAACCCTCTTCCAAACCTCCACTCTCTGTTCTTCATGAAATTTTAACAAAAAGTAAAAAAATACAGTATATTCTATCAAAAGATCGATACAACAATCGCTGCTGAAAAAGAAAAGTTATATAGAGGAGTATATGTCTACTTTAGAATGAAAATCGCATGGATTGGTTATCTCAAGAGATTATGGTATTTATATCGAGATTGCCAGAAGCTGGAAAATAGCGACAGTCGCTCAACTTTGCCCAGGAATAAGCATTTGCATGACAATACGTTGCAGAATACTGCGCCAAAGACCTGGTAGGACTACAAGAGAAATTTCGAACTTGGATTTTTACTTAAGAATAGATATTTTATATATTCTAATATAGACATAAATAACTAGCATAGAGTTTAGACTAGTTTATTTAGTAGTACTATATAATTTTTATAACCTGGCATGGGTTTAATAGTGCTATTTTTGTTTTGTTTTGTTTTTTTTTGTTTTGTTTTTCTTTTATATGTTATTTTGGTTTTATTTGTTTAGGTGTGTCGAAATTGGACACCAAGATATCACCCCTATTTTTCTTTTTGCTTTTTGAATTTGTGTTTGTATTTTATTTTTGTAAAAAGAAAGATGATACTGATATGGCATGTGATACCGGCCAATGATCGAAGAATTCATGCCTCTAGGAAATTAGAGGTCCAGAGGAAGGCGAACGGCCATTAGACAATATTGCACCTAAGCTTTTTTTAAATCAAGTAAATCACTTGTTGTAGTTAAGAAGATAATAACTATAGTTAAGAATTCTTGTAATTTTTGCTTAGTTACATCTTAATAAAAAACAGTAGCAGAACATGCCAAAAAAAAAATAAAATAAAATAAAATAAATAATAACTAATAATTATATAATATTGAAATAATAAACTAATAAGATAATAAACTGTTCTATAACACTACTATTTTTTTTTTCTGTATTAAGATGACCCCTTTGGTTAGTACTTTTATTTATATTTAAAAGATTACTTTTACAGTATTAGTCCTGTATCAACGGGTTTTATCTTAAAATGACAGTTAATTTAGGCACATTATTTAGGTAACGCCAAAGAAAAACCAGATTTCGACTATATAAATTTATACGATTGAAGTCTGGATATCTCTTGTATCATTTAATACTGTAATAGAATTAATTGATAAAATTAGTGGTGATCCATAAATTCTATTTTTTTGTATAATAATATACATATAAAAAAAAACTTCTGAATCACCCTAACGCTAATGATTGAATTTGTTAGATTGTTGATTTAAAGCCGATATGTACCGATTTTTGGACGATGCGGACCACGATACCTCGGCAATTCATTCTACGGCCAACATAGAATTTATTCCAGGTATTTTATATTCTGCCGTGAAATTTTCAAGGGAAGGTACTTTGCATGAGAGGCACCGTAGTCCGCACCGTACAGTAACAATTTTAAACGATTTTTTCTCAGAGAAGCATTAAAATCGTTTATTGTGGTTTTAAAAAAATCTGATTGCTGATTTTTTTAGTGTTACATGACAATAAATAATAGACTTTTGCTGATTACAGTACATCGGGTTAGGATTTACTAATGTTATATACGTACGTACAGTACGTACTATAAATTTAATATTATATATATTGATATACTATATATATATATATTGGTACGGATTTTTAACCGATTATCGTTTAGATAGCAACCTCAATTCCTACTATATACTTCTAACTAATGTGTCTATAAAAATCAAATTATAATTTCGGATTACTCTTAACATGCTCTATAACGATACGGAGACATTTTTGAATTGCTTAGTAATATTAATTGTTTTAGTAGTTAATCATAATAAAGTTAAGATTTGACTCTGTAGCATTAAAGTGGAATCCGAAATGATATTTTTATTTTTATAAGCACTATAGATGCAGACTTATGGTAAAGTTTTAACGTCAATTTATATTGACGTAACTGCTAAGGTTACGGCAAATGTCTTATGATCTAAGTCGTCTACATCTATAATAGGCATATTGGTAAGATTTGATGTTACGTATCTAAATTAGATTTATTAATCCTACTATGGCGGGACAATAACGGCAATAATATAGTAATTAGCATGACTAAGACAACTTTTTTTTCTTTGTAGAAATATAAGAGACTATAAGAACAAAATTATAGATTATATATTGTTTATTAAGTTAAACCTTTTTAAAGATAACGATAACCATTTTTATTAATTCTGACCAAAATATTTAATGTTAACGTTAATTTGTACTATACGTATTACATAATCATAGCTTTATTTTTATGTGCATAGCATAGCTTTATTTAAATTTCCATACCGAATAGTAAAAAGAAAATTTTGTCAAACCGCAAAAAATTATAGTAGAAAAAGTAACATGTTTAAGAGCCCACTTGATACGTATTAAATTTTGTAAAACTCTAAATTTTAGAAAGGTATTTTATTTTTATAAGAAAGTAACTAAGATCTTCAACTTTTTGTATTGATGGCGCAGATCTGGGGATTAATTAGATCGGCCGGATCGGATATAACTAGGTGAGTCAAATGATAATAATGGACGAGATATAAACATTGTTGATCTAATCCGGGTTAGTTTTTTTTTTAAATGAACCCAATCCTATCCAAAAAAAGTGTTTAAACGAGGAACACATGAATTTCCAGAACTATGTTATTCTAAAAATAACAATATCAAAATCATATCATTTTTTTGACAAATCAAATGTTATTAGAAAAGCAATAATCATCAACCGTTTAAAATTTTGATTATCTATTTCTTTTACCTTTTGTTTCGTTTAAAATAATTGTACGTAAGTAGTGTTGGTCTCGCTTACAAATTTACTAAAATGGATCTGCCAAAATATTAATTATTAATGTTTTTCCTATTTTTATTATCTAAAAAGCAACAATTGTCAATAGCAGTTTGTTTGACAAAGAATTCGGAATTACCAATCTCCGGGGCAGTTTTTTGAGAACCGGTTTTCGGTTTTCACAAAAATGCAAAGCAAATCCATGTGACATTTTTTCGAATTTTTTACAAGGATATAAAGGTCATTTTTAAGAAAAATTTTAAAAAAAAAAAATCAAAACAGTCCATTAAAAAATGACACAACCGAATACACCTCCTCATAATGTCGATAAAAACGGCATGACTCCAAACTTACCTATGAATGATCAAGTAAATAACGAAAGTCATGAAAACTCTAAACAATTTCCAGAGTTTTACTCGGCAGTTAATGCAAATGCTGAAGAATCTGTGAACAAAATAGCAAAAGCTTGGCGGAATCATCGGTAATTACTTGTAAATACTCGTAAACACTCATAGATACTTTTTATATTATTTTTGGCTGATTATTTGAATCTGTTAGATTACGGAGAGAAAAACTTGGAAAAGTAATATCTTCCGAATCTCGAAACAAACTTCATTCTGAAAGATTTGTTTGTTTGCATTTACCCGGTCATAGCGATTCATGCCCAGTATGGCTTAAATGGGAGGAGCTATTAAATACTATAGAAGGCCAATTACATCGAAAAGATTCAAAAATGGCATCTGCAGTACATGTTGTTGAACGTATTGGAAAAGTAATTACCACTTGTTTTATTTTATAAATAGACAATGTTATTATTTTATATCTAATTAATCTTTGAAAAATTAGGGTACAAGAAATATTAATGGTCATATGTGGCTGATATTGGATACAGAGCACTGGTTAGAGATCTGTGATTTAAAACATAGATATGGTGCAAATTTAAAGGTTAGTACAATAACATTCACTGATATCAATTGTTGAAGATAAATCCTACCTTATTTATTTATTGTTTCTTAATTTTTATCTCTCAAAGATTTATCATGATTATTGGCTTCAAACTGAATCAAATGAAAATTTTTTCGTTTGGCTTGACGAAGGTGGTGGCAAAGATCTTGATCTTCGTGCTCGTCCACGTAGTCAACTTGAAAAAGAAAAAGTAAAATATTTATCAAAAACAGAGCGTGCTGATTTCGAAGTAAAATTCAAAGATGGATTATTAGTTTATAAGAAAAGTGGAATTCCAGTATACACACATCGTTCAGAAGATTCCACGTCAAATTCCCCTTTTAGCCTTGCAAACATTAATAAAAGTGCTGAAGATGATGGAGAAAATGGTTCATCATCCCTTCATCGACGTGTCAGTGAAGGGAGAAATGAAAAATGGATCTACGTGACCGATTGTTTTGGGAATTTTTATGTTGGCCAAAAAAAAAAAGGCCATTTTCATCATTCTTCTTTCTTAGCTGGTGGAGCCATTTGTGCTGCTGGTGGAATAAAAGTCCGAAATGGAAAATTAATTGAACTTAATCCGAAGAGCGGGCACTATAAGCCAGCAAAACATCATTTCAATGCCCTTGTTGATAGATTGAAAAAAGAAGGCGTCGATTTGAATGGTACAAAGTTGTTATATCCATCTGAAATAATAGAGACGCAATTATTGACCAAATACGTCAAACGTATGCCTGACCGACAACAAGTACATGAAGAAATTAATAAATTATATCATAAAAATATTAATTCTCAAAATGATGAAGTACAAGTTCATAATAATATAGAAGTTCCAACATTAAATATAAATGGAGATTCTCGTAAAAATGAAGATTCTCATAAAAATGAAAACATTGCTAATGGACTTCCTACAAATAGAATTGTTCGTAATATAATCGAAGACGACTCTATAGAGAATCAGAAACGGAAATCTCATGGGCTCTTTCACGAGTTCCGAAGAAGTTTTTCTTCAAGTATTTCATCATTTATGTCATTATTCCTTGGAGACGATAATAAAACAGACAACAACTCGAACACAGAAAATAGTCGAATATCATTCAGAAATAATGAAGATTACCATCAACAAAAATCACGTTTGATGAACTATAAATTTGGTGCTCAAGGGCAAAATAAAGATCATGGTGAAAATCCTACAAAATAAATTATTTTTCTTTGTATTCTATACAATTTTGAAAAATTCTGGTTAATTATGCATGTATATATAGTCGTTTATTATTTTTGATTCATTTATTTATTATTCATTTATATTTGTATAATTACAAGATTTAAGTTCATGATATTTCATTCACTTTTGTAATTTTTTTTCTTGATAGTTAATTAAATAAATGTGAATTGTTAAAAAAAAAAAAAAAAGCAATTGATAATAAAATACACGAAACTCCTTTATTCATCCATACATCCGTACATTTCTTGAGATGTAAGACTTTTTTAAATAGCAATGTTATCAACGATCATAAGTAGATACAAGTGCAATATTTTTGAATAGATTGAAAACGGGGTATAGAGATTATGTACGGTACGGTTAAAATCTTTGTACTGTACGGTATGGTACGGTAATATATTTTACAATAAAAATTGTGTGCTGTACAGTATAACAATGGTATATATATTTTTTTAAACCTTCGTGAGATACTATATGAAAAGTCCTAGTGTTACCGACAATTGAGGACGCAGTCACATATTATTCCGACCTTACATTCCAGAAAATTTAAAAATTTTTTTTTTCAGAAAAGGACTTTTATACTATTAGTGTAGGATAAATAGTTTAGCATATTTCGAAACAAACTTGATCACTTAATAATCACGAACAGATTTAAAATGAATTATAAAACTTGAATTAAATTATATAAATGACATCGTATCATAGAATATACAAAATCTACACTTTTCCCAAACTTTATATATAAAATTAAAATTTTACAGTTCGTTATATGCAGGGCGCATTATTAAAAAGTTCGTTATAGAAAGCTTCTGTGTAGATGGATTTATAAATGGACCTCATTCATAAAAAATTACCACAAATAAAATAATTTGAATGCTGCAATAAAAATAATGGGAAAAATAATTTCTCGACATAAACAAAAAATTTCGCAAAATTTAGCAATCCAAAATTTTAAGATTTTCTAAACTTCTAGCGAAGGTTTCTCAATAACTACTTGACCAAATTCGGTAAAAATGTTTTTTATTTAATCCAATACTTTTGCAGAATCAAAATAAAAAAAAATTATTGGATTTGGTTTAGAAAATATTTGCTAGAAATTTAAAAAAATTAGAATATCAACAAAATCGAATAAACCTTTTTTTTTCTAAACATAAGCAAAGATTTTCCGACAACCATCTATTCAAATTCAATGAAAATTATTTTATTTTATTTTTACGTATGAATTTAAATAAAAAAAAATACTGAATTTGTATAGGTAGTTGTTGAGGAATATTTATTAAAAATTTAGCTACAGTTTTTTTTTATATATATAGAAACCTAAAATTTGAATAAAGTCTTTACCAGATAGGTGTCAAGTGATCTTTGTTAAAATTTAGATATCTATAAAACAGAAGCTGTGGTTAAATTTTTTGGCTTTTATTGGATGTTTTTTAACAAATACCTATATAAATTTAATAATTTTTTTATTTTAATCCTATAGTTCTTGAATTAAAATAAAAAATTCAAAAATTATATATCATACTGGTGGTATTCAACACAACATATATGAAAATCATAGATCAAAGTAATTTTTATCAAAATGAAAATTAAATTTTATATTAGGGTTAGGATTTAGACCTGGGATGGGGTAGGGCATAGCTTATACCAAAATTTTATAAGAAATTTTTTTGTTAAAATCCCAAAGATAGTTTCATAGATGAATTTTTGTATTATAAAGTATAATGATGTTGAATACCAGTAGTGTGATTTAATAATGCTGAAAAATTTTTATTAAATTTGAATAAATAGTTATTAAGAAATTTTTGTTTATATTTTTTAAAAAAAATTAGAAAAAAAAATTGTTATATCAAATTTTTTATTTAATCTTTAAACAAAAATTTCTCTAACCATATTTGATAAAATTTTTATTATTTTAATTTTGAGAACTTATAAAATTAAAATAAAAAATTATTAAATTTATTTAGATATTTGTTAAGAAATGTTTATTAAAAGTTAAAAAAATCTATAGTTTTTTTTTATAATTTAAATTTTGAATAAATATTATTTAATATTTATCTAATCAAATTCTATATTTAAATTTTATAATTTTATAGAATAAAAATAAAAAATTTGGTTAAATAATATTTAGTAAACTTTATTCATATTTTAGATATCTATAAAAAAGAAACTAAAGCTAAATCTTTTTAATTTTTAATAAATATTTCTTAATAATTATTGATACAAATTTAATAAAATTTTTGCTTATTGTAATTTTTAAACTTTTAAAATTAATTGATGATTCTCCAGTAAACTGAAGAATTATCTTAGTGTAATGCAATGTGATTCTATATATAAATTTCTTAAGACAAAAATGTAGTGTTTATACAAGGAAAACTTTTTTTCTTACTAAGTAAATCATCTTTGGGCTTCTAACTAAAGATGTAGAGCTCATCAAGATGCATCTAATGGTAGTAAAAATATTAAAATTGGCTTGGTAGTTTTTGAGAAATCTAAAAAATATTTCACCAACTATATAAAATTTTTAAAAAAATCAAATTTCTTTAAAGAAATTTTATATATAAGTGAAACATTTTTTAAAGATTTCTCAAGAACCACCAAGCCAATTTTAATATTCTTATTACTATTAAATGTGTCTTGATGAGCTCTACAACTTTTATTAGAAGCTCAAAGATGATTTACTTAGTAAGAAAAAAGGTTTTATTTAGACAACCACTACATTTCTTTAAAAAATCTTCACATTTCTATCTATATGATTTACATATAGAACCACATTGTGTTATACTATGATAATTCTTCAGTTCACTAGAGAATCATCAATTAAAATAAAAAATTTTTATTAAATTTAAATAAATTATTATCAAGAAATCTTTAATTTTTAATTTTTTTTTCTAAAATATTCTAATTTATTAAACTTTTAATAAAAAGATATCTAAATAATTATTAATAATTTTTTATTTTATTTTGCAAAAAATTAAATTAAAATAAAAAAATTTTTATCAAATTTGATCAAATAGTTATTAAAAATCTTTGCTAAAAATTTAGAAAATTTAAAATTTAATAAATATAAATTTTTGAATAATTTATAAAATTTTTTAAATTGGCAATATAGTCTTAAGGGTAGGGGGTACAAATTATAAATTATATATAAAACTCGTGGTATTTATTTCTTATCTTTAAAATTTTACAA